CCGCTTCGGCCTAAAGAGTGCAAGTGGCCGTTTGATGAAGAAGCCCACGACGCTGATGACAAACAGCACTGTTTTGCGTGATGCCTTTGAGAACAAGATGTGCTGTGGTGATCACGTACATCAGCGTGTTCAGGGGCACGTTCATGGGCAGCAGGTGTCCAAGGAATCCCAGACGTATCCTCCCGACATGTGCCGGGCACTCGCCCTTGCAGTCATCAACCAGTGGGCAGAAGATTATCCGAAGCCCTAGCCCGTAGCTAGCACTTAGCACAACTTCCGTTGTGCCGAACTAGGCAGTTGACACACGTTGGCTGTGGTTAGCTCGTTTCCAAAGACAACATAGTGCACTTGTTTCTGGTACTTGGCAGCCTGTGAGCTAAAGCCATGTCAATGTGCAGCAGCTGCGACTTTTGATCGAACGATGTCAATATGCCTGCTGTGGAAAAAAATTCGTTGTGACATGATACAGACTGCTGCTGTCCCGGAAGCACAACATGACTTTAAGGAGTGGCATCACAATAGAGATGTTGTTGCAACATGGAATCAAGTAGCGTATTGTTTCAATATTATATGATGCTGCATAACTGGTTTGTGTCTTTGGCTGCACACTTGAGCTATCTTTCTATTTTCAGAGCAGATACTGACATATTGGTTTCTAACATCAAAGTAGCTTTGACTTGAAGCTATCTTACTACTCGGCGCATCGCGGCGCATAGCATCTCATGTGCAAATCTGCGGATCTCAACGTTGAGATTCTACCATGGAGATCCGCGGGTTTCAATTGAAACCCGTCGTTCTTCCTGTGCATAGGTAATTATCTGCGTAACTCCCCGCTCGAATTTCAACATTGAGTTAAGCAGATAATGTCCTAGGTGCAGGCAGATCCCCGGGTTTCAATTGAAACCCGCCGTTCTCTCCGCACTCTCTGGTGCACCGAGATCCGCGGATTCTTGCTTTGGCAGGTATCAGATGATCTGCCCGCCCGGGCCCCAGACTGCAGAGATCCTCCGGTTTCAATTGAAACCCGGCGTTCCCGACGGTTCCCACTGAATTTTCTGACGATCCCGACGGTTCCCTGTTCCCTCCATGATCGATGTTCCGGGTGGGCGGGAGTGAACTGAGCATCAAATCATCCTGGCTCGAGTGCTTTTCAAGCTTTGTTTTGGGGGTCCATTGCCTGCTGTCAAGCGGACTGCCATGATTCAGAACCCTCAGGAGGGGCCTCTGAGTTCAAGAGATATGCATCTACCAATATTCAAGCAAGCTCTGAAGTTAAATCCATTTGCCAGGACCCTGCCGACGGAGCAGATGCTGCCTCCGTGGTCACGGCTCCCGTGGCGCCGCTGGTGACCACAGTGCTGGAGGCATTGGAGTGCCGCCTGGCAGCAATTGCAAGGAAGCATTACGAACATGTTGGTGACAGTCACAGCTACAGAGGTTGCGGAAATCCGGGAAAGCTTCTGCGGGAGTTCTTCGCAACTGACACTGCCAGGGCTGAGTTTGGTACTTGGCTCGACGAGCAGATTGGAGAGGATGCAGCAGTGGCATATACGAAATGTGCTGCTGACTGGAAGCAGGTCAGTGTTTCCCGGGAGGACGAAGCACAGCCTATGTTCCTCCCGGCTTCTCTGTTTGCCTACGACAATTGCTCAACTGCCGGCCCAGTCATGCTGCACAAGAGCAAGCAGATGGCAGAACACATCCTCAAGGATGGATTTGTAAGTCATTCAGAGCCCCTCTTCGTCCTGCCACCCGACAAGGATACTTTTCAGCATTATGCAAGTTGCACGAAGTAGTAGCTATGACAGTCTGCATAAAGTCACGAGGATTGCATTCCAGCAGCCGGCATCCTCCCGAAGTTCTCCGTCACTTACGTGAAAGGACAAAGCCGAATGGTTACTGCACTGGCAATCCTTGCAGTCATGAAGCGTGATGGAATGGAACTTCGCGAGGCAGAGCTTCATGAAAGCATAAAGAAAGCACGAAGCCCCAGGATCCCTAATTCAGGGACACTTCTTGCCTGCAGCAGGCGGCACCACTTCTTTGGAAGTCCTTGCAGCGCATCCAGTGCAAGAGCATCGAGTGCAGTGACGCTCAGGAGCAGCTGTGCAGGACTCAGAGGATTGTATTGGCAGACAAGCAAGCCGTTCCTAGACTAAAACATGCATGAAAACTTTGGCTGCTTCTTTTGGGCAGGTTCTACGGGTTCAAAATCTCCTCGAGAGGATCACTTCGCGAAGCACCCACGGCAGTGACATGGGTGCATGCCCTCCTCAACCTGCAGAAGACTGGAAGATACGACTGTCAGAACGTTCTGACAGCATGGAACAGTCGGTCGGTGAAAACCGACCAGGTTACTGGTGGGAAATATATGTCAGTGAAAAACTTATTGGACTTGCCCGACAAGGCAAGAGGAGTGGTGATGGATACGGCTTCGAGGCTCGGCTTCAAGTCGTGTCCGTTCTCGGACGACAATTTGTCGTCCAAAAAACTGGTCCCTGGGTTTCTCTTCCGGTGCTCCCCCAAGCTCAAAAACTCGAAATGGCCCAAGATGTCAACCGTAACGGCTGAGTCCACGGCGCTCTGTCTGGAGTCAGCAGTCTCCAGCTTCGAAGCAAGCCCCTTGAGAAAACGACTCAGCAAGAGCGAATTGGAGGAAAGATTGGAGATGTGCACCCTAGCGGCAAGTAGAACAGTAACAAATAATAAGTGATGGAGTTCATAAATTTTTGGATTGCAATCCAGGCACGTTGGCCGTCGGCCTTCGTGATGACCTTGTGCAGTCCGTCGCCGGCATCGAGGGCCTGCTGGCCGACAAGTGGCTGTGGCTGCAACGGGTAAGGTTGGGCGCTTTTGCAAGTGGCTGTGGCTGCAACGGGTAAGGTTCGGCGCTTTTGCTTTGACTATTTGCTTCAGACTCAGGTGGATGAGCCGTGTCCGAAAGGGCGATGGTGTGATTGAGATGGAGCTCTGCACAGCCTTGAGGAACAAGACTGAGACCTTTGGGCCCAGGGACATCCCGAGCCTGAAACTTACATGAACTTTTTTGAAGGACTCATCTGTGATCTATTTTTTTCCGTGCTGTTGGTTTCCTCAGGTCTCTCCAAGCTCATCGACCAGTGTTCCAGCAAGAGTGCTGGGCTTGCTGCTGATTCCACGGCCACTGCCGAGTCATTGGATCTTGCGGCAAGAGATCTTGCAAAGAAGCAGTTTGAGTGCTTGCTCTCTGAGACCAAGCACGATCAGCAGGTCTTCGAGATCTACTTGCAGAACCGTGCGAACCATACTGTGAATGTCCAGGGCATTGCTGTTCAGTATCAGAAGAAGTTATCAGATGAAGCCCGGGCAGCAGTGGAGAAATGGTGGGACAAGCACGTGCTTGGACCTGTTTAAAGCCAAGCTTTCAGGATACGTCCAATCTGATGATACATGCCAGATTCTTCTAGATTGCTATTGCTACATACAGCTCTAAGGTCACGACCTACATTTGGGCGGAGGACGAAGCTGCTGCTGGTATGCAGCTCCTGTGGCGTACAAGCAGAACAAGCAGGACTTGCTGAAGGCTGCTCTTGCAGATGGCTGCGCATTGAGACTGCATTTACTCATCATGTTGGTTGCAGTGTTTGCTGAAACTCCAATCCCGCCTGTGCAGCATCAAGGTGACCGTCAGCGTGCAGAATCTGATCTCGCCATGCCTCGTGTCGGCGGCACACTTGTCGGCGCAGATGCAGGTTGTGCAGCATGTGCTTGCAGAGGATGCGAGGAACCTAGGCCTGGTTCTCCTTCCGGTGTTCAGTCACAAAAAGAATGGGCGCTACGCAGAGGAGGAACTGATAATGAAGGAGCTGGGGAAGATCGGATGCAACCTCGACCACTCCTTCTCTGTGATCTTTGCAGACAGAACTGACTCTTCACTGCATCGGTTTTAGTGGTTGTGACTATGATAGATGGCTTGATCTGAGCAAAAGCATGTGACCTAAGGATGCCCGAGACGAGCGACCCCTGAACCTCGCTGGGCGCTTCCTTTGCCCGACGGACGACAAGGGGCACATCGCCAAGTTCTGGGCAAAGAGTGCCCTTTTGGTGAAAGGGCGGACAACGGAGGCCGCCCAGATCAAAGCAATCGACATGATGAAAATCCTGGACCCCGCCGCAGTTCCGACTACGAATGCCGACGAGCCTCTCCGCGGCGCCCTCAAGTACGCCCAGATCGGCAGGCAGGCAGCAAGCAGGGTCCTGGAAGGGTTGTTGGAAACTTGCTTGCACACTGTGTATTGACTTGACATCATTGCTGCCATGGCCTATAATCAGCCAAAGCTTTCACAAAGCTCTCAAAACCCAGGATGGCCCAACGGTGCCTTCCTCGCATCTGCTTGAGATCTTGGACACGACGCCCCTCGTGGGCAACTTCCTGGAAGCTCCTCATTTGCATAGGCATGTCAGTTGAACTGAACAGTGAAACCCCAAACCTAACCCCATTTGCCAATTATATCGCAGCTCAGGCTTTTATTGACAAGACACAGCAGTGCAACCTTGCCATGCACTACACGGGGGTCTTCCCCAACGATGCTGACCAAGAGTGGTTCACCATGACACACCAAGACTTGCTGATCCAGCAATATCGGAATTCGGAGCTCAAAGTGTCTGGGCACCCCAAGAAGCTTGGTTGCACCCAGCTTCATTGCATTTCACAGAAAGACATGTCACTTCTCGGACAAAGTTTGTCAGGTCTCCTGAGGAGCTGCCGAGGGAGCAGGTGTTGGCACCTCCGGAGCTGCCAAGCTTGAAGCAGCTGGTGTATGGAAAGGCACATGTGATATTGCCATGAACCCTGAACTCCCCACCCTCAACCCGAGCTCCAACACTGTGGCAGGACAGCGAGGGAAATGCTCAGATGGTGCACCTGCCAGAAGCATTGATCCAGAAGTGGTTCCACGACCCAATCCACGGCAGCGAGTTCCGCGGCCTGGTGGATGAATTGGCCAAACGATACGGAACACTGGAGGACTTGAAGACTGCCAACCAGGCTCAGGCATCATCGACACCAAGTGCTGGATCCAAGCGCCTGGGTGTGGGACCTGCCCCAGCAGCGAAGCGTCTGAAGTTCACCGTGTCACCTGAGCAGTGCATCGCCCAAGACAAGATGATTGGTATTCAGGTGGCCCAGGTGTCTAGCAAGCAAACCCTACATCTTTTCAGGTATGCCAAGAATTTGCCATCCATGTTCTGAGGTCCCACTGCTCAACATCCGGGTGCCAAAGGACGTGGAGCCTTTGTCGATGAGTATCCGAGATAATGGCAGCATCTACCTTGTGAACCCCAGCAGCGACGATGACACTCACCTGAAACTGACTTGAAATCAATGCCCCTATAAACCGCAACCCTAAACCCTTCAGCAACTCGAGGTTTCAGTGCCATTCGGGACTGTCTTGAGTGGCTTCGGCAAAGGGAAGTTCAACCAGCTGGCTGCTGATGCAACGCTGGATGACAGGAACCTCTTGCTTTTCCACATCAAGGGCCCCAGCGACCTTGTTGTCTTTGATGGCAAGCTCATGGAAGTTCAGGCAGTCCTGGCGCAGAGGCTGGCTGCAGGGAGTGCAGATGTCAAGGTTGCATACCACAAGACCGAGCAAGTCGGTGGCCAGACGTGGAACTTCACCAAGGAGCTCCCAATAGTTTTAACCCTAAACCCAATTGTTAGAATCACACAGGCTTCAAATCACTTGTCAAGTTCATAACATCCCAGACAGCGCTTGAGGAGCACAACATCAGCTTCAAGCCGGAGGATCTGAATGTGCCGGACAAGAACAAGATTCCCCAGAACTCGGGCAGTTTGGGCTCTGCAGACTTCAGCAAGTGGAACTCAGACCTGACCCAAATGCTATGGACAGTTTCGTGGACAGTGACAGGATTGAGCCCTGTGCGGCCAGTTGTGGCAACCATCAAAGATGTGACATTGCCCAAGACCGCATGTGTGCTGCTTCCAGCTGCCAGCTAAGTTCAGGGCTTACGTGGCTTCCAGGCAGATGCATACTTCAAGACACTTCAAGGCTTTCATATCTTCAGGCTACAGATTCATTCAAGGCAGATGCGAAGCTGTGCTGCTTTTCTCGGGGCACGACATCATCCAACTTTTAAGCCTGTGTAGCTGTGCTGTTTTGCTCGAGGCATGGCATTATCACCGGCCTGAAGCAAGCCCTTTAGCTCTATGGAGCCTGACTACTGCTCGAGACCAGAAGAACTCTACCGTGAAAGACTTCGTCAGGTATAGAGCAGAACACACCACCTTCAAATCAATTCTGAATCCCTTCCCCCTCAACCCTAAACCCAGGCCTGGCCACCACCGTCGATGCCATTGCGGGTCCAAGCCTCAGATGTTTGAGGCTACGGTTTAAGCTCGAATCTATGTTTTATTGCACACCTGATAAGGGGTGAAGGTTTGAGGTTAAGGATCTTTTAAAAAAAGCGCTTTCGAAGCTGTCTGGGACTGCACTGGACAAGTTGTCACAGTTTTGTGAGAAACTCAGAGCCACATGTTGGGCAATAGTTCCATGCAGCATCCTGCTTCGCCACATTACACTTTGGGCACATAGCTTCTTCAAAGCCCGGTGGCTTTGAGGCCCCAAGGCCTTGAAGCACAGGTGTGAAGGTTACTTCAACAGCCTCCCTCCGTTTAGCCATTGTAGCCTGGTAGTAGATGGTCTCCACCAGCTTTGGAGTTGTGCCTGTTACAGCACCAACAACCTTGGCCTGAATGTTGGCATCCCTCATCAAAGTAACCGCCGACTTCTTCAGGCTGTGGGTACCAATGCGGGTCATGTCCACATCGTCGAAGACATTGCAGGTGCCGTTGGCATGATCATTATCCCGTTCCTTCTTGAGGATTTTGCTGACCTCGACAACGTTGTTGTAGTAAGCCTTTTCCGAGATAGCTCTTCCCCAGAATCTGCAATCGTGCCCCCCACGAACCCGGCCTGGGAATAGCAAGACATCAGATCTGAAGGTGTCACCTTCGCTGATAAGTCTCTGACCAGTGAACGGCCAACACCCCTTGGCTCCCTGCAGAGGTGACCCCATCAAAGAGAGCAGCCACTTGGCAAAATCAGAGTGAAGGGGGACTTTGCGTGCTGTTGTTTTTCCATTCACACCCTTTGGGATATCGATGTATGGCTTCGGCGACACCAAACACAACCAACTTGTGGTGCACTGGCGGGCGCAGTCAGCCCGATCCCCCATCATCAACTGCATGATGAAGAGCACAGCCGTCCAAGCTGGGCCATTCGCTAGCAAGGCCTTGTAGAATGCCACCAGCTGGTTTGCTGTCAAAGCCTCTCGTCCCCCCCGAGGATTCCTCGGAGGGCTTCGTTTAGAAGCAGCAGGCTTGCGAAGGGGAGCCTTTTTCGGTGTTGCTTTCATCGTTCCCTTCTTTGCAACCTTGCTCTGAGCTCCTTTTGCCATGATCCCAAATAGGTCTAGAGTCTAAGCAAACTCGTCTTTTAAAAGCCCAATGCACTCAAAGGTGTAGATGCTCTGGCCTAAACCCAGTTCTGAAAGCCACTTCTGTTTCTTGGCCGGTTTCAGAAGTGGCCCCTCCGAAAACAGAAGTGCCCCCCCAAAACAAAATAGTGCCCACCTTAGGTTCTTAGCTTATATTACAACATAGCCCTTGAGTGCCCATCTTAGGTTCTTAGCTTATATTACAACATAGCCCTTGAACCTAAGACCCCCCTCCCGTCCCGTCCCCACTTTCTACCACCACCCTCCCGAAGTGAAAAGAAATTCCTGCACGAATGCTTGGAAAGACTTGCTGACGGTCTCAAGCAGCGGCACGGCGGAAACGAATTCTTTTTGATCGCCTGGAGGTAGAGACATCATGCATCGTGCCTTCATGCGCCCGTCCAGAAAAGCCTTCAGCTTCCGGATTAAAGCACACTGACAGAATACAAGAAGCCCGGGCGGGAAGGGTGGGCTAATCGAAAAACATTCCTCGGTCAGCAGATGGAGCTGGGTTCTTGAGCACAGCCCCGCGGAAGGTTCACAGCTGCGCGACTATCCATCCTCTTCCACAAATGACTGAAGCTGGTCACATGCTGCAGAGGCACGCTTCTGTCAGGAATCCTGCCTTCATTCCTGCACGAATGCTTGGAAAGACTTGCTGACGGTCTCAAGCAGCGGCACGGCGGAAACGAATTCTTTTTGATCGCCTGGAGGTAGAGACATCATGCATCGTGCCTTCATGCGCCCGTCCAGAAAAGCCTTCAGCTTCCGGATTAAAGCACACTGACAGAATACAAGAAGCCCAACCACCAAGCGACTGGCGCACATGCGCCGCGGACAGAAAAGCTAGCTTGCAATGCGACCGGCCCCATCTGCAGAGACACACAAGCGCCAGAGGCGTGAACAAGCCAGCAGCACACTTGCCAAAAAGGCACTTCGCAGTTGGCGCAGACTGCGGCACCCCAGGCCAATGACGTCAGAACCTAGCTTCGCCAGCAGCTAGTTGAAGCAAGCACCACTTCAGAAAAAGCAGGGCCTGTCACGCAGTTCCCGGACGTCACTGGCTGGGCGTAGGCGAGAAACCAAACTAGAAAAACCCCAGAGGAAGCCAAAAGCCTAAACCCAAGGCAGCAACCCTTTACTGATTACAGGCAGAGCTCTCACCAGCTGAGTCGGCAGCTACCCTGCGCACGTATGCACAGGCTGGGGAACAAAAACAAAGGGAGGAACTAGGGAAAAACCCGAAAAGGGCAAAGCCAACACAACCCTAACCCTAAAGAGCCAGAAGGCAGGCAAGCTCCAGTCACCAGCGGAGCAGGCGAGAGCAGCAAAGCGGCCAACTTCAGTCGAAAACCAAAGGGCACCCAACAGGTCCTAAACCCAAAAAGGGATAGGGGTCCTAAACCTTAGGGGTGGCAAAAGGGTCCTGTCGGCGACGCTTCAGGCTTGACTTCTGGACCTTGCGAGCACGATTGCCCCGATGCCATTTCCCACGGGATGGCTCATCGGCTGGGTTGTGCTCCGACGGTACATAGATGCCCCGAAGGAGGCAGTTTGTTGCCATCAAAAGCGCTCCGACTTGACGCACGATTCCTCGAATCACAGGTGCAGAAGATCTGCCCTTGCTTGCTGCCCCTAGAACAGCTTTGGCATCTATCAAGATAGCAAGTCGATGATGAAAGTTACCCCGTTTGCGCAATAACCACTTCAGCGCAAGCAACAGGCCATGAGCTTCTAGCACACCTGAATGCGCTTTGTAACGAGCACGCGCAGAAATGGCCACTTTGAAGCGTTGCTTCGGGTAAGGCAGCAGGTGCGGAACCCCTAAGCGGTCTTTGGGAGCGGGATCATCGGGGCCTAAATAAAACTTAACATAATCTCCTCGCCTCTCTGCAAGTGCTCCCACTTCAGCGGCCACAGCTCGGGAACACCTCATGTAAGCTACCCCGAAGCCGAAAGCAGGAGCCGCATCGCAGGCTGTTAACTGTGGCAGGAAGGTGCGTCGGAGGTCGGCACACAACAACGGCATAATGAAAGCCGCCACCGCAAGTTCTGCACCAACCGAGCTTGGCAGATCAGCTGACACAGACGACGGCTCGCGGCGCACAAACTCATACACCGCGTCGAACACACAGAAGGCAGGACGCTGTAAAAGACAGAACCACTGGTGCAGACCAAGTGCCCTGCTCACGCTTCTGGGACTGGCGCGGCCCTTGTTGAGCAAGTCGATCCACGCACGAAAAAGAGCAGTGACTTTACTAGGTTCTGGCTGGGCAGTTCCCGTTTCTGCGTCAATGCAACAACCAAGTGCCGTCATGGACGACTGAAGCGAAACATCCTTTGTGGCATTTTTGGGCATGCCGTTTGCGGCTAGCACTGCATCCAAATCGGACAAACGTTTTCGTCCCAGCTCCTTGTCGAAATGGAAGAAAAATGTATCATCTGTCGCCACGCCGCAGATTTCTGGTCCTGAAGGAGGTGGGCTGTCCAAGTCCATGAAGCTGCTGGTGCACACTCCAGCCTCGACGCAGCAAGCAAGGGTGGCAGCTTGGGCTATGCATGAGGACCAACTAAAGCCCATTGGCCACACAGTGCTTGCAGGGTAAAGGTTCTCACGTGCACTAACGGGACCATCGCCCTTGTCCGCCACGAACTGCTGGAGGGATGAAACAGAAAGCTTGGAGACCTGCGCGAGCTCTTGCAACGTGATTGGAGGCCGACCAAAGTAAGGCTGAAGAGCATCTGGAGCATGTAAAATGTCAAAACATGTGTGGATGTCCCGCTTTGACATATAAACACGTTGCCCAGGAGCGAACTGGAGGTCAGCGAAGCAGCTTGGATTTGCCAGCCGAGCTGGCGCAGGAGGGCGTGCAGCACCTGCGGAAACCAAAGAGCCGTCCCAAACTTCACGTTGTCGCCCGTTGCTCTTGCCCACACAAAATACACCCCCAGTGGCATTGACATGGATTCGTAGCCTCGTTTTGCCACATTGCAGCTGTCGCCAGACCAGATTGACATACTCGAGCTTCTCGCCCTTAGGAAAAGGACCCTGCAGCCAAACTTCAGCTTTCCTGCTTGCAAAGAGTGCCGAAGGATTCTCAATAGCAGCAGCCAGCTCAGTGGGAATGAGAAGCGAAGGGTCGCAGGTGCCAGCGACCGCCGGGAGATCAACCGCTTCAGCACGAAGTTTCGGGTAACGGTCGGGAGACTGCTCCTCGAACTGCTCAAAAGCGTTGCAAACCGACAGCTGCCCTGAAGAGGCCTCGCTCAACACCTCCAAGAACGAACAAACGCGTCCGGCTACGTGCTGCAGGACATCCAACTGCGCGGCGGTATGACGCCCAGTAGTCTGCAAAAAACGTGCAGGTTGAAATCAGCGGCCAAGAAGTTCATCCCCGCGATACATGCATTCAGCATCAAGAGCCGCAAGGACACCGGCAAGATGCTACCTTCACCAACCTGGAAAAACCACGTGCGAACAGGGCTGAGGGGGAAAATTTC